AATTCTGAAGGATTCTGCAGGGATGAGAATCCGTGAACTGTGAAACCCACGGTTGGACGCAACTTTCCGTTTGAAGGCGAAGAGCAGCGGTCAGGGCGAGGTGGGATCAGTGAATAAGGTCGTTTTACATCCTCGCTAAAAGTAAAGCCAGCGGGAGTATTTTCACCTGCAGTGTGATCCATTTTGACCCCACCATAAAATCTGGTCGTTAAGGGTTGCGGCGGTGAATCCCACAACTGCCTTTACAAACAGGAGAGTCCATAACTGAGCAAAACCTTTCATGCCAATCTAAAGCAGTAGCCAAGGAAGAAATCGGGTAAAGACTCGTGGTTCTTAAGGGGGGTATCCATATTTTGTTCCCACTTTTAATCTCAGTTTATATAATTTGTGCTCAAGTTTCTTCTCGTTTTTATACGAATCCTGAGTGTCAAGGAAAATGCCATGTGATCTGTTCTTTTCTTTCTTGCCTAGGAATTTAGAAGCTCCTGAAACACCAGTGTATTCTGTGAAGGGTCATAAAGAGATCATAAACAGTATAGATGGTGTAGGTGGCTTAGGAATTGGGGAAGGTGCACCAGAAATTGTGACTGGCAGTCGAGATGGTGAGTTAGTGAACTCTGCAAGTCTTTTCAGTGATTCTGAGACAGCAGGCTGCAAGCCTTGGTGGCAGGGCGCCGCCTGCCACCCGAGCTTGTTGTGCCTCTCTCGCAGCTGGTTCTTCATGCGCTGCCTTTTGGTTCTCTCTTGGGACGAATTTTCTCCGATTCTCCCAGAAGCTGTAGATAAAGCAAAAGGTGCTGTTGCCACTGAGTGTGGGACAGGAGGAAGGCCAAGCAGAGTGAATGCGAACTGTCGACTCGAGGAGCTCTGTCCTTAAAAACCCTCTCGCTTTATTTCTGCTTTGTTCGTTGCTGTCCGCTCAACGCAGTCTGGCGCTCTGGAGTTGAAAGGGACGCTCCCGTGTTTTGAACGAGCAGGCTGAAAAACAAAGGCCCCCCCCCCGGAAAATGAACACGGATGTGACAGTGTACCCCTAAAGCAAAATCCATTGTCCTTCTTTCGCAGGAACGGTGAAGGTTTGGGACCCAAGACAGAAGGACACTCCCGTCGCTAATATGGAGCCTGTGCAGGGGGAGAGCAAGAGAGACTGCTGGACAGTAGCGTTTGGTAATCTATCCAGTTATAACCGTTCCTCCCTCTAATGTGACTGTGCTTTGACAGCTACAGAAGTATTTCGGGATGCTATGGAATAGATGGTTTGTGTGGACCAGTCCGTGGCAGATGTTGCTTCTCAGCACTGTCCCGTTTGTGTGTGTTTCCGTGTTCTTCAGAAGCAGCCCGTTTTGTGGTCGCTGGGTTTTGGACTCGTTCTCTCGGCACCTGTGGTCAGTCACGTCACAGGGAAGCTGCACAGGGTTTGTTTCTGTGCCTGGGAACGTCGGAACAGCCAGCGCAGGTGCCTGGCCCTGGGGGAGCGGAAGTGGTGCAGTGCACAGGGAACAGTCGCTGCTGGGGTGTAGTTCCAGCTGTCGAGTGTAAGGCAGTGATTTAAGGGGAGACCCTTGACGCTAAGAGCTAATTAAAGACGGCAGAGATGCTCTGCGTTTTTCCTTCGGAGAGAACAAGCTGCTTGTGTTCTCCACCAGCTGGTATTTCTGGATTAGCTCCATGTTTGCCTCCAGAGTCAGGGAGCGAGTTTTGCAAACTGCGAAGAAGCGCATGGATTATAATAACGAAACGGATAGTGAGGAGAGGACGTTTCCTGGAAAGGAGCTGTGACTGTAACGCCTGTTGCTCTTGACATCTCTGCCTTCTGCTTTGACGGATGGAGAAAAGAGTGGCCTCGTAACTTCTTCCGTTTTCTTTTGTTACTGAGGCTTGAGCCAAGGCCAGGTTCATCTTGAACTACCTGCCTTGGGCCACTCGTTTCAGACAGCGACGCGCTTCCGTGATCCCATCAGCTGAGAGCTTCCAGAGGCAGCCTTCTGCATCTGCCTAGCGATGGCCAGGGTCACACCCCAGGCCTCCCTGCGAGTCTGTGTCTGTGGAGAAGGCGGCTTCTCCCACTGACCTGCCGTGCTTGAGAGGCTGGGGGAGGAACCAGCCCTGGTGCCGTGGTGCTGCCTGGGAAGCATGGTTTACAGCCCATGGAGGTTTAGGGAAGGAGTGTACTCACATAGGTTTCCAGGAACGGTGTGCAGTGCTTGTTCTGCCTAAACTGCACAGGCTTCGGCAGGGGCAATAAGAATTTTGTTCATATTTTTAAAAGAAACACGTCCAGTTTTGAAGCTGTATTTTCTATGCCTTTCAGGTTTGAAAACCAGCCTGTTCATTAAACCTTGATATCCCAATAGTAACATGTTTCTGTCACAAATGTTAAGTTGAAATTGCAGGCTTAGGAGGTCTGAAATTTACAGACTGAAGAGGGTTTCTGTAGTCTGATTAATCCTTCCTCTGTCTGCAGGCAATGCTTACAATCAAGAGGAACGTGTTGTGTGTGCTGGGTACGACAATGGGGACATCAAGCTGTTTGACTTAAAAACCATGTCGCTACGATGGGAGACCAACATCAAGAATGGGGTGAGGAAGCCATAAAAGTATTTTTCATTCCAGCTCCTATGCAGGATGGAAAAATAAAAAGGCCTCTGTCTATCTGAAATCTGCCCAGAAGACTTTGCTGCTGAGATTGTGCCAAGGAATTATTTTCCTTAAGTTCAGCAAATTGTACCCCAGGTTCTTGGTCTGGATGGCAGTGGGGTGTTTTATCAGGAAGCCGTGTCAGTGGATTCATGTTTTCAGATTATTTTGTTATTCCTAAATTGGTGATGTTGTCATTGTGAACATAACCCATGATTAATACGTGCTTACAAATCACCCTGCCCATTTTTTTAGGAGTCGCTGAATTTCAAGGCTAAATGTACTTGTGTTACTACTTCTAGGTTTGCAGCGTGGAGTTTGACAGAAAAGATGTAAATATGAACAAGCTAGTGGCCACATCGCTTGAGGGAAAATTTCACGTTTTCGATATGAGAACTCAGCATCCAACCAAAGGCTTTGCTTCTGTCTCGGAGAAGGTATGGGGAGACAGAGGGTTTCTTACAAACAGATGAACTTGTCGGATCGATGCTGTCAAAGTACTGCGGGTCCAGACCGGCTGCCTTTGATGGGTAGTAGATGCCCCGGCTCCCAGGGAACAAGCTGTGCTGTAGCCTGGCTGGTGAGGCCCCAGGCGCAAGCAAGCAGTGAAGGGGCTCCTGTGCATCCAGCTGCCAGCGCTCACCCGGGCTTCGTCCCTTTTAGAACCTGATATCTGGGCTTCTCTGGTCTTCAGGTCCTGCTGCCGTTGCAGCTCTGTGCGCTCAGCTGTGCCCCTGCTCTGGGAGTCGTGTTCATTGAGGCCATATTAAATTGTGATGAGCGTGCAGATTTAAATCTGAAATATATCCCAAAATAAAACGAGCTCTCTGCAAGCCCTTTTTGTCCTGCAGTCACCAGACCTCATGTGAGTCACAGAAATAATTATTTTTCTTCAGAACCAAACACTTTGGGATTGGGATATTGAGAGTGAGCGGAAGGATGGACAGGAGAGATGTAGCGGCCCAGAGGCTATTAAATATGGAAAAGTCTTACAACCTTTTTTCTTCCATGGGTGACCACTGCATTCATCCGTCTAAGTTCTTGAGAAAGCATTTTTTAAATTCTTTTTTTTAGTGAACAGAATCTGATGATTATTAGAGAAAAGGTACTTCTGTGGGGAAGTTCTTCAGTGCCTGAACTGCAAAAACTGAGTTTCAACTTAACATCTTTAAATCGGTGTTTTCCATACAACCACTCACAGCAGATAAGATGCTGGGGGTAGTTTGATTCATTCAGTAAACACTTTTGCGTTACCTAGTGTTTGTAATGAAGTGTAAAAATGGAATTCCGTACCTTTCTGTGTAAGCGTTTCTTTCTGGATGTTCCCGTCCGTGTCGGACTTCTCAGCAGCTCACCCGTGACTGACTCCTCTACAGTGGTGATCTGTTTTTTTATCGTTAGGCGCAGAAGTCTACCCTGTGGCAGGTCCGGCACCTACCGCAGAACAGGGATATATTTATGACCAGTGGAGGAGCTGGGAGCCTTCATCTCTGGAAATAGTAAGTGATCGCTCTCTGGCCCGCAACAGCGAGAATAAGAAACCAACCGTGTTTTGGGCAAGAATCTTCCTAAAGTGGGGTCCTGCTTCCTACCTCACAGTATCTAGTTAGAATTATTGCTTGCAAATGCAGTAGAAAGGGTGATTTCAGCATCAGATCCGGATCTTGAATTAATCCCTAAAAGAACGTGACAACAGCACAGATGAATTTTGCCCCTGTTGCTTTTCTTAACGTAATGGAGATCAATTTATATCCTTGGTTAACGAGATGATAAGTGGAAGAAAATGGGTTTCTTAAAATTCTCATATGGTAGCAGTTATGTCTGAGAAGAATGTTGAAAGTCTGGACTTTTAATGATTCATACGTTTACATCTCCTTACGTTGCGTTGAAAAATAGTTTCATCACCCCCACAGCAGTGGAGCAGGTGCATTAGGTTTCGGAGGGATAGATGACGTGAAACTTTGTTGCCTTCGGCAAAAGCCAAAGTTAAAAAAACCAAAAGGCTATAGGAGAGGGGTGTCAGGAGTCAAAACTTCCTGCCTTCTTTTTAATTTAATGAAATACTTACTTAGTGTGCGGCGTGGATACAGTTGGATGTGATTATTAATTATTTTTAAGGCATTTATTTGCCTAATGTTGGTTGAAAATAAAGAGGATAAAGGTGTGTTCGTATCAGTAAGTTCTGAGCACGTTTTACTTTTCCTCTTGGCAGCGAATACCCGGCTCAGCGCTCGAAGAAGGATTCGGAAGGGGCCGAGATGGGGGTGGCAGGCTCTGTCAGCCTCTTGCAGAACGTGACCCTCTCGACGCAGCCGATTTCTAGCCTTGACTGGAGCCCTGACAAAAAGGGACTGTGTGTCTGTGGTGCCTTTGACCAGACTGTGAGGGTGCTGATAGTTACGAAGCTTAACAAAGTTTGACAGGAAAACTGATGAGTAAGCAATATAATTTGCGGTCTGTAAATCTGGGAGGGAGAGCCCTCCTGCTCCTGATTTAACTTCTCCCTTGTTAAAACTGGATGAAAGAAATAGCAACCAGATCTTTCTATGGAAAGTTCAGCTCCGTGCAGGTAGAGTTGTTCGACTGGTTGTGCCATGGGACTCAAAGTTGCCTGGGCGCGAAACCTTTTACCTTCTGGAAATGTGAATTCACATTTAAAAGGAAATGTGCCTTTGTGCTAACCCAACCTGCAACCTCAGAAATCACCTCTAAGTTGTTAGCTTTGGGTTTAATTGCAGTGCAAGGTGTTTCGCGCTTGTTACGTGGTTCGGCTTCGTAGGTGTCAGTGTTGTCCCTGCGCGTTCACGCAGTGGGAGCTACTGCGTGCTTCCTCACAGCAGCTCTTTGTGTTACGATGTTAACTAGGATGTTTGTTCGAGTGACTTAGGATTCTTTAGAACTTGCAATATTCAGGTTTATTGGAGTAAGCTTTTTTTATTGAGGATCATACTGAAATTCAGCTATTGAGCCAAATGCACTGTTTTATGACTTTAGTTTGGTTTTGTAACAAGTTTGTATGTTCTCTTGTTTTTATGTCTGTTTGCAGCTTGCTGTTCTACAAATAAAATTATATGGAGTGTTGTCTTAATCCGAACAACGTATTGAAGCATCCCGAGACGTAGAGAAGGGATGTACTTGATAGGTTTACAGGAGCAGTGCGCAGTACTTCGATAAAGCTTCATTTATAAGGTAGCCAAAGTACTGCGGTTTGGGGGTTTTCTTAAGGGATTCAGTATTTCTTCAACACCTGATGTGACAGGGTAGCTTTGTTCCTGCAGTTTCACCTGAACTTCTCTTTGTAAATCCCTGTGTTTCTTTTATCATTTTACCAGTGTGTGCCGCTGCCACTTCTTTTTAGTAGGCACCACAGTTTGTGGGTGAGTGGTGGGGTCTTTCTTAATTTCACTCAGCTCTAAGGATTTCATGTGTCCCTTTTTCCTCCGGCATTCGCTTTCAGCTGACTTGTGTGTGTGCACGTGCAAGTTTCAAAGTATGTGCGTAGGCAAAGTTTCGAACCGTTTCTGAAACCAGATTGCGATGGGAAAATGTCAGCTTTGTCCAGGAGAACAGCCAAAAAGCCACTCGTGAGGAACCTCTGTTTTCTTACGGAGTGAGGACTGGCATCTGACAGATTCGGGGGAGTCACCTGCACCGCATCAAGCCTGACCTTCCAGGGGCGGCAGCTCTGCGGAGGGGCCTTAGGTCCGAACTGGTCCTGCCACCAACTGGCATCTACGCAAGATGCAGGAGGAAGAGGAACCAGCCAAATACTGAGGTTAAGGTAGGGAGAGAGG